GGAAGCGTGGTCGCTGCATACCATTTGAGCATAAGTTCAACATTTCAATGATCTTCAGATATTTTTCCTAAACCCTAAACCCTAAACTCTAAACCCAATCCAGTTGGGATGCAGTTTAACGTCTCCATCAGCTTGCAAGTCGCAGCCATTGATATGCGCGAGGTGCCTTTCGATATTCCATCATAGCTGACATTGACATTATGGACACAATTCAAACCAAGACGCCATCTATGCCGCATCACAAACTGTAGACTCCCAAGCCGCTGGTGTGCATTCATTTTGTCAAGTACCTTGCCCGCACCATGGATCTGACAAGCTCGATGCTAACTAACGAAAAAGGGCTGTCGGCAATGTGCTTAAGGCTGTTTCTCAAACATCAGGACACTCTTGGAAACCTGCCGGATGTCTATGAGCTATAGTCTAAACTCCAGGAATCCGCCTTTACAAGCCCTATCATACTCCCCTGTATAATTCCTTACATAACCACCTTTAAAGAGTTCAGACTCTAGCTCCTATGTGGTTAAAGGCCTTCCCCTTATAACAAACTACAGATATCACATACTCCAAGCGGAGGCCCCAAATCCTGGAAGACGGGCAGGACTCATTCTAAGGGATACGCAATTATTTAACTGTGGTGACTCTAAACGCCCCAGCCTTAATCCTAGACCCTTCATGACCGCCACTCTTAAAGGCCTCAAAGCCACATGGGCACCTTCAAACTGGACAGCCCCAACCCTAGACCCTAAAGGCTCGTGCTTATACAATGTGAAATCCTTTACCCACCAACCCGCAGGTCCCGAATGCTGCATCCCAACCCCTAAAACCCCCCCTAAAAGCCCAAAACCCTCAGCCCCTTAAACCCTAAACCCCTAAACCCCTAAAACCCCTAAAACCCCTAACACCTGAGCCCCTAAAATCCTAAACCATGAACTGAACCCAATAAACCCTGAACCCCTAAACCATGAACCCGTAAACCATGAACTGAACCCCATAACCCTAAAGCGAGTGGCTGCCAGTTGCCCTCCAAGGCGGATCCGTAGAAGTCCTAGGTTACTCTTGCGGAAGTTTAATGAAGAGCTTCCCGAAAGGTCCGTGTAGGTATATGGGTTTAAGGTTTAGGGTTTAGGGTTTAAGGTTTAGGGTTTAGGGTTTAAGGTTTAGGGTTTAGGGTTTAGGACCTTCCTTGTACCCGTAGATAGGTGTATATGGTCCGGAATAGTGGGTGTGTCATAGAGAGTACGCGGAGGGTCTAGGTACTTGAGGAGGTTCTCATATATACCAGCTTCAAGGCCAAAGTATATATCATATAGCTACGTGGAACCTTAGGGTTTTCGGGCTCAGTATTAAGATGCCATGCTCCCTTTGAATAAGTTATGGCAGAGACACAGAGGCTACACACCTTTTTGTACAGGGTTTAGGGGTTAAGCTTATAGATACGGATATGTAACAAGAAAGTTATAGTTTCGTCATGATTTGCCCTTAGTTCGAGTTTCTTATCAGCAACCTATGGACCCCGAGCCCTAAGCCCTAAACCCTCAAGCGTAAGTAATTGTCGAATTGCCTCACTTCCAAAATTTCAAGAATAAAAATCGCCAAACCCTAAGCAGCGGTAATCAACTCTTAGACCTAAAGCCTACGTAAACCCTAAGCCCAGAGTCTTTCAAAAGCACGCGACCAGTGCTGGCGTGCTCGATCTGCATCCTTAGCAGTTCCCTAAGGGTCCGAGTCCGCAAATGATGAGGTTCTAGCGGGTTTAGAGTTTACGGTTTAGGGTTTAGGATTTAGGGTTTATGGGGTTCAAGGCCCCAAAGACTCTAATCTGAATGGTATTTGGACCTAAAACCCTATTATTTGGGTACTTGGACCCTTACCTCTAAAGATGCCAGTACCTAATAATCATATACTTCCCCAAAAACTGTACTATAGTTGCTACGACCAAAACCGCAAGTACCCAATTACTGGGTACATGGACCCTTAGGGATTCAGGTCCGGGGAGTTGGTGAGTTTTAGGGTTCTTAGGGTTGTTAGGGTTTAGGGTCCTGAGGATCTTAGGGTTTTAGTGTTTTATTGGTAAAGGGTTTAGGATCTTAGGGTTCTAAGGTTTTAGGGGTTTGGGGTTTAGGTTTTTTGAAGGTGTTGGATTTGGGAGTTAGGTTTAGGTATTGAGATTCAGGGTTGAAGGTTTCGTGGGCTCACTGGACATGAGGCGTGGCGTCTACTTTAAGGTTCATGGGGCTGGGTACCGTTTTCTGCCTGGGGTCAGGACTAGGGTAACCCGTATAGGCCACACAAGGTCGTTACAACCCTAAAGCGTACTCCCACACCCCTAAACCGTAAACTTTTGGTAGACCTGCAAATCATGACCGCGCCGAGAGTCAGGAGACCTTTCAGGTCCTTGCACTCAGCATCCTGTTGATCAGACTTGCTTACAATATGCTTAAGTTTAGGGTTTAGTTAGGATTTATGGGGTCCTTTTAAAAGGATATACCCCATAATCACTGTAGTTTCCATTTTCTTTTCCATTATCCCTATATAACCCTATATTACCCCAATATGGGAAACCTAAAATCCCTTACCCCACTGGGGGATCTACAGGAGGAAAAAGGGTTTAGGGTGTAGGGTCCCTTTAAAGGGGATAGGGGGCATGTATAGGGGGATATAGGGTGTAGGGTTCCAGGGTTTAGGTCCTGCTAATCAGAGGTTTGTGGCAACACCAAAATCTTAAAAAAGGCTTGAAAAGGGGCTTGATGGAGAAGAAATCATCTGGACGACGAGACGGAAACTGCTAGCTTATGTAGGCGTATATAGGATCTACATGAGGTGGAAGCAGTGAGGGTCCCATACGAGAACTTTGGCCTACTGCATGTTAAAGTCCCAGATGACGCCCATCTACAGTAGTTGCTCAAAATTCATGTTCCGAAATGGTCATTAAAGACAGAAAGTCCATCATCATCTTCATCAGCATCATTCGATTTCAGGGGGGGGGGGGGCATACGCAATGCCATGTGAAGGTGGGGCAGGGTTACACACTAAAAGTCCTAAAATCGTCCACCTCATGGAACCCGACATACCCCTCTTCACCCATCACTAAAATCCTACAAGCTCTTTGAGAAATCATCCAGAACATGACTGGGTCTTATAGAAGAAGTCACTTGGAATGCCGACACCAAGGCAGCTCCGTCCAATTCAAAGTGTTGCTTAGGGTTTAGGACCCTAAACCCTATACCCTAGGGTTTAGGGTGTCAGGTTTTATGGCTGATTTGGCAGCACCCTTAATCTTTATACGGGTTCCCCGGAAATGGGGGGGTACCTTGTCCATAGAATCAGGATATTTAGGGAGACTATCATATGTTGTACTTCCCTGACTACCTACTTTGGTTTGGATTTAGGGCTTGGGGCTTAGCGTGTAGGATCATGGGAGCGCCGATTGTGTCCATCAACAATTCGGATGGGTCTCTGTAATTGGGGGTGATCTACAGGGATCCAAAGAAACCCAAATCTTGACAAGTACCCAGCTGGAAATGCATCCAGTCGTGATAACCGTCAGAATTGGTAAAACAGCATCTGAGTGTTTTTCCACATGCGCTTTCCTACTAGCACTGATAAGGACAGTGTATGCAACATCACGGACATTTATTCGAAGGGTCCAAGTGCTGTTTTTTTGGCCCCAAATGCTGTAATCTCAGTATTTGGGACCCATCACCCTAATGTTTGGCACTCGGCCCCTCTAGGGTACATACACGTTTCCGGCTCGGGTTTCCGAAAGTTCTGAAGATGCTTCGTACTGTCCTTATTTCTTGAGATTGAAATCGCCGCCGTGGCGACATAATCACCTCCGCCTAAAATCCAAACCGCCCGGCCCCCAGAACATTAAATCTTCCAAATACAATCTGAGATACCACAATTGGAATATGTTATCTTCGGGGGGATGAGGGTGGTTCATAAGGGGAGGTGATTATTCTGCAGTTGAGCAGAAATGGAACATTGCTGAGGTCGATCAGATCTAGCCCAAGGGCAACAAGCCGCATGGCCTTCACCATGGGCCAACGGCATGCATTTGATACTGCCCGCACCCCCTAAGGGTCCATATAAACAATAATTGGACACCCAAGGCTTTGGTGAAATAGTAATTATAGTACAGGTCTTGGGTAATTATATGATTGTTAGGTACTTGGACCCTTAGGGACTGCTACAGCTAAGAACCATACATGGGTTCCAAGCCAAAGGATAAACTGGGACTACAATTGCGGTATTGTTTTTGTTGCTTGTGGGGGCGTTGCTCAAAGCACAGCACATGACAAGAGAGATGGCACTTGACAGCGCGGATCCCCTTCAGAAATGCAAAGCTCTTGCTGAGCCCTAGGGCTCCCAGCTACCTAAATAGTAGGCTACTGGGCTATGTAACTATATGGTATATAATGGTATCTGGAACCTAGAACCCATTTAGGTAACTGGAGCCCTAGGGAAACATCAGACGGGCGTGGATGTTAAAGATGTCACTAAAACCAATTGCGTTTGTGGAATTCTTGTGCTCTGTAACCTTTAGGTTTCTCTCGGGGGGCTCTGAGCGGCTTCCGCTACTCTTCTGCAATGCCCCTGTCCAAATCTGTAATGCCCAAAAGGATTCAAGGGTGGAGTCTACGACGTCATGCTTTTTTGCCTAGGACAGAGCCGGATATGAGTCAATTGTGCTCCGTCCGTGCTTAAGCATTCTGAAGCACTATTATAATAAATTTCCAAGAGCCCTCTGCTTTCCGAAAGATACTGACATCCTCTTAAATCCCGCGCCCAGTTAAAACTCACCGTGCCAACCACTGCTGTGTCATCGAGATTCGCCCCCCATTTCTAAACTGGAGGGTCCGAAGGATATCATTTTGACAAGTCTCGAATGGGTGCGTCTCACATTCAGCACGGGCCCCCTACTATCGTAATCGCATCATGGTATACTCCCGACATATCCCTAGAGTGTTCGAGGCACACCTGTTTTGAAGCAAAACGACTCACTGCCTTTGCCATGGGCGGGGGGCATAGGCCAGACTCGTGGTTAGAAGCAAGACAGCGCCAAACGCTACCGCGCCCCACATCGTCCATTTTTCGAGATACCATGAACCAAACGCACCGACACCAAACACGAGCCAAAACACGCAAAAGATGGCCAGAGTCTTCAAGTAGTCGAAGAGCCAAGTGGTTCCAGGCGAAGCCCAGCGATCGCAAAGCCACCAGGTGATTTTAAGGCACCTTGAACTGAGGTAAGTAGCAGAGAGTAATTAAAGGGGTTACATTACATGGGGTTTATGTAGGGGTTGTGTTCCCTTATTCACTACTAACAACCAGCAAGAGGTTCTCGAAAGAGAAACGATTGAGGGACCTTAGCTTGTCAACTACAGGGTTTAGGATTTGAGGTTTAGGTTCTTAGGGTTTCAGGGTTTAGGAATTTAGGTCTCTACTGTATGGTTTATAGGGAATACAAAGCGACATTTGGATTACTTGGATTCAATTCCTGCTTAAAGCCTAACCCCAGGGAACTTGAAAGTCTCTACTCCTAAACTTGTCTACACAATCGAAACCTCAAATGATAAGTCTAAAAAGCCCTGAGGTTGGACCTAATTGCACACCCTATACCAACATATCCAGCCAAGCGATTGGAATTTAACGATTACACATCCGAACCCAACTACCCCAAACCCTACTTTAGGCTTTAGGGTCTACCTGGACACCAAAAGTATGTAAAATAATGGCCTTAATGGCTGTTATTGTGGGTTGAGGCCATCATTTGACATACTTTAGGGGTTTAGGTAGGATCACAACCCCTAAGCCCTAAATCCTACTTTAGGCTTTAGGGTCTAGGATCAGGCACAGAAGGGTTGAACAGAGCGCAAAGCCGAGACCCGAAGCAACCATCTCAGCAGTCAAAGCTTCGACGGGTGCACCCCCACCTTGCTTCGGGTTTAGGGTTTAGGGTTTAGGGTATGGGGTTTAGGATTTAAGGTTTAGGTCGAACCTCTTCCCACTGATATTAAATGCCCTAAACCAGCCAATAAAGAATACGGGTTCCCCAAAAGTCCGAGCTCTGAAATTTGCCAACAATCAAGACTACTGTCTTTTAAACCGGCCAAGACTGAAGGGTTTAGGGTTTTGGGTTCGGAGCCTCTGAATTAGGCGGGCTCCCTAGCACGCCTCTTTAGGATCAGGCATCTCCTTGATTTCCTAGATTTTGTTTGCTTTTGAATGGTTTCAAAAACGGAACTTATATAGAATCCGAATTTGGGGTTTTAACTGGGTCCATTGCGGTTTTACATTGTTTTGGATTAGTCTGTAGTTCGATTTTGATACAATTTCACCTGACTTTAATCGACAAATAGCTTTGATTAGATTTTGGTTGGATTTTATTTAGATTTAATGGGCTTGAGTATGCTTTTTGAATATCAGATGGTTTTGTTTAGGTTGTCGGTTTTAATTGATCTTATTGTGATTTTAATGGTCTAATCGATTCCTTATTTGATTTCAAGTGGATTTCAATGGCATGCTAGTACATATATATGCCCTCAGGTTCCGGTCCCACGTTAAATACCACCCTAAAAACGGGTTCAATTATATACAGTAGGGGGAAGACGTTTAATATTAGGGGGAAAGGATTCGGGTTTGGAGTTACGGGTTGGATATCTGGTTTGCGGTTTTGCTAGGATTTAGCATTTAGGATTTAGCATTTAGGATTTTGTTTCGGCACAGGCTTTAGCTTCTTGGCTTCTTGTGCACAGTACTGTGCAAACACCCAGGAAACCTTGGCAGCATGATGGAATCGATGCCTGCAACGCAAAACTACCCTGACAAGAATGGTCGAAGTCAAAACGCGGGAGCGGAGTGGACTGCTGAACGAGAAAACTGTGCTTTACAAGCAGCAGTAAAAATCATAAGAAGAACTTCTGTCTTCTTCTGCAAAGAAAGAGAAGCCAAGCGACGGATCATTGCCACACACACGTCCAGCGCCAGGGTGCAAGGGCTTGCAGCCACCAGGAGCCCATAGCTCAGTGGAACCTGAGCTGTTGCAGCCTAAATACTATGTAACATACCCTGGCTTTTGAAGTATGGATGAGCCGCTCTTTCGGGGGTTTGCATCCGTCTAAAATCACAGATGATCAGTACGAATTGCCTCTTCGATCCCCATTTTCCCCATTTTCCCACATAGGCTCACACTTCCCTGTGCAAGATGGGTTATTCTTAAAACTATGGGCCCCTTTTGGTTGTAGATATCATTACGGCGCTTCTGGTTTAGGGGTACCAAAATGGGATCCTAGTTTTCGGGGCTACTCGTATAGAACGTATATAAGGACCCTAAACCCCAAACCCTAAACCCCCATCTGGACCGAGGAACATCTGTTGATGAAGAGGATAGGAGCTCCCGGCGCAGCGGGCCACGGACGTAGGCTGTAAAGGCATCCTCCGAGCCATACCAGGCGATGATGGCACTGGTTACGAAGGCCCTGTCGGCCTCCAGGAGACACAGGCGACTAGAATTGTTTGGGGTTCTTTTCATTGCTCGTTCTTCCTCCTGCCATCCTGGCGTGATCACTGTGCTGGTACGGCATGCAGGTGGTCGTAGTAGTCGCCGTGCTGGTGGCAGTAGCGGCGGCGGCGGCGGTGGTGGTGGGGGGGTTTATTCCTAAAGTGAATGAAGCTCAATGTCCTGGGTATGGATGCCGGTCAAGGCACTTTCTCCAAGCGCACGAGCTCTTGTGTGAACATTCTTCCAGGGCCTGGTATATGAAAAGGCGAAAACTTTAAACTGATCCTGTCCGGAATCCACTTTTTGCCAGTACTTATCACGCCTCAAGAAAGCTGCCAATACCAGTATATAGAACAAGCGAGAACTATGAGATTCCCTGGTTGTGTTTGTGGTGGGGCTGGCAGGTCGGGGGTGGCAAGGGTGGCGGCGGTGGTTATGTGTGGGCATTACCATAGGTGGCGGTAGAAGGAACCACTAGTAGAAGCTGTAGCAATGAATCCAAGAGTAGTAGCCGCAGCAGATACAGCACTGGTAGCAGGACTGGTGATTTTCGTCGCTGTCGTCTTGGTGGCTGTTGCTGCTGCTCCTGCTGCAGTTGTTGGTTCTGCTCTAGGCCTCCAGGAGGCACTGTGCGTCCTTCAGCTCAAACTTCTCCAGTGCCTCTGTCAACTGGTGTTTCTCCTTCATAAACTTCCTGTTGGTGTGCACAATGAGGCTCAAGGGGATGGTTGTGAAAAAAATCCTGAGCTGATCTGAAAAAGCCTCATGAACACTTTTTAATGGGTAGCTCCCTGTACTACGGTACATGAAAGATGTTTCTTATTCCTCAAAACCCAGCCCAAACTCATGCTGATGCCCCATGACGAGCTTTGCCGCGCAATGAAGTAGATACCAGAGCCGATCACAGCACCCAGCACCTGGATTCGGCTTGCGAATTATCGAGAATCTTCTAGGCTTTAAGCAGTAATACCAAAGAACGGAAATGAGACAGATGATGGAGGAAATCTTAGGGAGCGTAATTCTTAAGAAGTATGGGTCATATGGTGGTGTAGGTTTTCCGAGGTTATCAGACTTCGCTCAATTTACGCCTGGAAAACAGAGCCAAAGATCCTAGACCCTGAAAGCATGCAAACCCTAAGCCTAGGTATCTAATTATATAGCCCAATGTAGGCAATATTTACAGACTTGAGGGCCCCATGTGGGTATCTTTGGTATACTTTGATGCCTGGGGTAATCCCTAAAAGGTAGAAAAACTCAGCTCTATTCGCTTTAAATCTGGCCGCCAGGAGGAGAACTTGGCGCTCCACGAAGAGCGGCTTCACATGCAACGGGCTACTGGGATTTGCCTTGCGAAAGGCGGCGATCTCGAAAACACACCAGAGTCCTTAGTAGTAGTATACCCTAAACCCTAAATCAGAGTCCTTTGCTCAGGTATTCGAGTTGGGTTTGAGTTTTAGAGGGGTTCAGGTTTGGTACATTTCAAAGGGGTCCATGGCAAACCCCAAAAAGACACTGCCTGGACCTCCCGCATACCAGCAATAATGGCTTTTACCCAAATGCCAAGTATAACCCTAAACCCTAAGTATAACCCTAAACCCTAAACCCTAAAACCCTAAACCCTAAGAACTGGCATTTGGGCATTTGGGAAGTCTTGCAGGCAGCTAGCAGCCGAGACTTCAGCCGAGTCAGGGTTTGCTTTTTGGGGGGCTCAAAGTTCGACCTTCAGGACACACCATGAACACAGCGAATACCTCACCCGAAGGCTCCCAGTTACCTAAATGGTTAGTTACTGGGCGATGTAACTACAGGGTATATAGAACATAGAACCCATTATTTAGGTAACTGGAGCCCTAGGGTTATGCATGTGCAAGCAGCGAGTTAAGTATGGAGGTGACCATAGGACACGCATCTCTTTGGAGACTCGGAGGAAACCTCCCAGGCCGTACACACCTCGCATCGTGAGCTCTGGGTCAGTCTGGTGAATGCTGACTACATCCAGGAAGCACTTGGGCGATTGGTGTGCAAAATCGCAATATGGAAATGCGAGCAAGGAGATTAGCATTGTCAAGCTGCCAGAAATGTAGGCCCAGGGAGCATATGGACAGCTAGCTTCAAAGCCCAAGATATTCATGCGGTATATGAACGGCGTGGGCAACAACCCAAGGACACCGAGAATTACGACCAGTACCACAGCGCAAAACCAGCTTGCCATCGCAAATGGCCAGCCATACTGGAACAGTAGCGCAATGAACTTCCACCGGCCCGGTGTCCTCCACGTATGCGAAAAAAACACGTCGAACTGCTCGAGAAGTTGTGACTTCTCCCAGAGCTTCAGACGACTGTTCGGGTCCAGATCTGCAGGCGATTTCTTCCACAGCTGTCCATGGTTGCGCAAGGTGCGAGTCACTGGAATTCCCCGGACGACTTCCCTGTCCACTCTCAAGCTGATGGCCTCAATGACGGATGGTGCATGGGCCATGCCTTGCTCAGACATGTTGTCACTCGCCTCATTCCCGTCACGTGTGTGGGGCCCGGCTTCTATTTCTAACCTCTCAGACTTAACAGCCTCCGCAGGCACGTCGTCCTGCTGCTGGCAGCAACTGCTGGCTGGCACTCCCATCACAGCTTGGCTGATTATATAAGGGATGTGCACCTTTGCAGGGCTGGCCGAGCGAAGGTCAACCAAATAGTTACGCTGCCTAGGCATAAAAGCATAAAGATGAAGCTTCATCTCAAGCATATGCAACACATTGAAAGTCTGGTAGTTGTACTGTTTTGCTGCATGCTTCTCAGCGGCTGCCTGAATTTAATCTACATGTTGAACCTTCCTGAATGCCTGCAGGAAAATTAGGGCTGTTTCATGCATGAGTTTGCTTCACTCGCACCCTCCAAAGCCAAATCCAGAAACCACACCTACATTGGGTCCCCAAATCTATTTATCCTACCTATACCGAGCTGTTATTGAAACACCCAAAAAGCACCTCCCCCCCCCC